GGAGAACCTCCCCAGCCACTGGGTCTTCCCACCCAACAGTCTAGTAATCCCATGTCCTTTGCTTGCTCATTTCTACTCCCTGTATCTCTGTTCCTGCACAGTGCCTAGAACCTTCTAGAAACTTGGCTGCTCATGTTGTTACCTGCCTCTCTTAGATCAACTCTGAACCAGTTCCCTCAATGGGCCAAACACCTACACGGGTTCTTTCAAGGAGGCAGGAGATATCAGCCCCCTCCAGGAAGCCATGTACAATCACATATTCTATTAATAAGCATTAAGAGAAGCACAACGCCCAAAGAGAAAGGGGCAAACCAATTTGGTCTCCTAATTTTTTTTTTGAAGTTTTTGGCTGGGGCTGGGTTTGAACCTGCCACCTCAGGCATATGTGGCCAGCACCCTCTACTCTTTTGAGCCACAGGAGCCACCCTGGTCTCTTAATTTCTAATAGTTACAGTTATTATTTCTGCTTCATTCCTAATGACACTGGCTAGAACTTCTAGGACAATACTAAATAACAGCAGTTTTAGTGGGCAATTTTTTATTACTGACTTTAATGGAATACCTTTAGTACAATGCCTTCATCTTTTTTGGGTTAAGAACACACTTTGAAAATGTGATAAAAGTTATTAGCTAAAGAAATATATATATATATATATGTATGTATATAATATATATATATGCTTTTATATAACATTTTAATGCAATTTTAGAAGATTTAAAAATCTAAACATCTATAAACACCAACTAAAGCAGTTCTGTTCTGTAGTTTCATCCTGGTAGTTTAAGCTAGATATTCTTCATATTAAGGGAACATCTTTTTATTTGTAATTAAGTAGAAGTCCAATATTTTTTTTCTTTGAGACAGGGTATTATTGCTCTGTCACCCAGGCTAGAGTGTAGTGGTGTCATTATAGCTCATTTTAGCCTTAAACACCTGAGCCCATGTGGTCCTCCTCCCTCAGCCTTCTGAGTACCTAGGATTAGAGGCATGTGCAACCACATCCAGCAAATTTTAGTTTTTTTGTAGAGACAAGGTCTTGCTATGTTCCCTAGATTGGTCTTCAACTCCTGAACTTAAGTAATCCTCCTACTTCAGCCTCCCAGAGTGCTAGGATTACAGATGAGAGCCAGTACTTTTTTAAAGTCTAGGGATTTCCAAAGTCACAAATAGGCATGAGAACTGTCAGAAGACACAAAACAGATGTTCCTCAAACAGCCCATGACAAGTATGAGTCAGTAGACATGACAGAGAAAGCATTTCAGCTTAGTGGAAATATGATTCTAGCATTAGTAATTACCTATCTGGAGGGAGCAACCAATTTAGATCCTCTCTCAACACAATATGGAACTAGGCCTACTGTACTGATACATACATGTGGTACATGTTTGGTCTCGAATGTTTGGTCATGAAAATTACATCAACTTTAAGGAGGTTGTCAGCTATGGAGGTTCTACTGTATATGTACATATATATTTGTGTGTGTATTTGAAACAAAGGATGACTATTCCCTGACTACATAAAAAAGAACAATTTGAAAAATTTGAGGACCTACACGGATAAATGGGCAAAGGACAGGAACAAAATTTATAAGAAATTCTAGTGCTAAGGCAAATACCTAAAAAAAATGATTAATCAAAGAAACACAAATGAAATCGATGAGATACTACTGTTTGCCTGTGAATTACCAAAGATCAAAAACTTACAGTAGAAACTTCCCATTCTCAACCATGTTAACTATTCTTCCTTTCCCACTTGCTTACTAATAAAAACTCTGATTTGTGGGACAGAAATATACCTAAATAAAAACTATACTTCCTGGACTCTCTGATAGTCTTGGCCATGTGACATAATTTTAACCAAAGAGATATTTTTAAACAGTACAAGTTAAAACTCCTGAGCAAAGGGGGTACTCAGAAGGCTTGTTCTTTTCCTTTTGCCTTCTTCTTGACTACAACAAAGACCCCAATGCTGGAGGTAAAGTAGCCATCTTGTGACCCTGAGAAAATAACCACTCACTAAGGATGCTTAAGAGGTTTCTATTACTCATAGACAAACACTATTCCTAACTATTATGTTCAATGTCTGCATGAATTTCATAAACAAGCACTCATATGTGGCTGAAGGAAGTGAAAACTGGAATAACTTCTCTGAAAAGCATTTTAGCATTATGTATCAAGAGCTTTTAAAACATTCATATTAAAAGTGTGTTGGCAGTAGTTGAAGGAAAAAAGCACTCTTATGCATTGCTGTGGGTATGTAAACAATCTCTAAGATGTATTATTAAGTAAGAAAAGGAAAGCACATAATGATGTATAAAGTATGCTTCTAATTGAGTAAAAAGGGGGAGGGAACTGAAATATATACATTTATTTGCTTGTTTATACATAAATACCTCTGAAATGATAAACAAGAAAGAGATAACACTAGGTGACTCCAAGTGGGAAATTGGAAGGCTATGGGACAGGTCAGGGGAAGACTTTTCACTTTATATCCTGATATACTTTGGCCCTTCTAAGGTTTTCATGGGGATCAATCCTAAGTGAATAATCAGAATACAAACATTTTTATATAAATATTTTCATCTCAAATGTTATCACTAACTATGAAAACTTGGCAATAGCCCAAATGTCTCACATTAAAGGAGGAATTAGTTAAACTAAGTATACCCATGAAATAGATATTTAGTAGCCATTAAAATATTAAACATTAAAATATATAAACAACAGCATAAGATCATGCTCACGAGATCATATTAAGGTAAAAGGCCAGACATAATTATTGGTTTTAAATTCTTACAGTCAACTTCTAGTCAAGGTAGAATGTTAATCATAAGATAGCACAAACAAAAAAGTATGGTTCATAGAAAGTTGAAGGAGGACAGAAAGAATAGGGGCACTAATAATATACCTTACAAAATGGTAATCAAGAGAGACTGACAGAAGTTGAGGAAAAGAGAAATAAAGTTGACAAATCAATAAATAGTGGTATAAACTCTATTATCTTTTTGTTGTTTTTGAAACAGAGTCTCACTTTGTTGCCTCAGGCTGGAGTGCTATGGTGTCATCATAGCTTATAACAACCTCAATCTCCTGGGCTCAAGCAAACCTCTTGCCTTAAACTCTAGTATCTTGAGTTTTAGAGGTATCTACCAGGAAATGAAAACGATGAGGCTACTTTTCAGGTAAGGGGTTGAAGTGGGTAAATTGGGATCATTGCTTTTCATCCTAAATTCCTCCATAATATTTGATTTGCTATAGCTATTACTTTGATTAAAAGGCAAAAAAAAAAAAAAAAAGGAAGGAAGGAAGGAAAAAAAATATAATAGCTGAAAACAAACAAACAAAAAAATTCACCAGAGGGGTTCAACAGATTTGAGAAGGCAGAACTAAGACCAGAGAATCACTTGAGCTCAGGAGGTGAAGTCCAGCCTGAGTAAGAGAGAGACCCCATATCAACTAAAAATAGAAAAATTTAGCTGGGTGTTGTGGCAGGTGCCTGTAGTCCCAGATACTCTAGAGACGGAGGCAGGAGGATCACTTGAACCCAGGAGTTTCAGGTTGCTGGGAGCTAGGCTAAAGCCACAGCACTCTAGCAATAGCCTGGGGCAACAGAGTGAGACTGTCAAAAAAAATTTTTTTAAGTAGAGTAGAAAAAAAAATAGAAGGAAAAATAACAAAATATTAATAATGCTTCTGAGTGGCAGAATCATGGGTGGTTTCTTCTTTATAATTCCCTCTATTTTCAGAATTTTCCAAAAATTTTCCCCAATGTTAATAAGGAAAGTTTGACAGGAGAAAATAAAACTAGAAATTATAGGAGAAAATAAAATCAGGACATAGGACTGAATTAAAAAAAAAATAAAATACTTGTTGACTGATTCATTAAGAGAACACTTCCTAGGAATGCCCTGGTCCCCCACTCCCCCAACCTCAAGCAAATACCAGATAGGCTAAATAAATAGGGCTGAGTGGGAGCAACAGGCCCTTTATCTCCTGGTGAACCACAGGTACTGAGACAGCAGTGCCCTCCCATGGTAGCTTGTTGCAGTAACGGCCCTCAGTTTGCTCACATCTCCTTGTATGCATGACCTTTGCAATGTAACCTTATAACTCTCCTCTCTAGAGATATAATCTATGTTTGCACCTATGGAATCAAAGTATAGCAAAGTAATTTGCTTTGGTCAATGGGACTATAGGAAATCTGACACAAACAAAGGATTGAAAAGTGCTTTCATACTGCTAGAAACCCTTCTGCCACGTTATGAAAAAACCTAGGCTAGCCTGGTGGATGAAATACCATGAGGAGAGAGGCCCTAGCAATTTAACTTAGGTCCCAGACACCCAGGAAGATCTTTTGAGACCTTCTAGCCCCTAGTAAGGTAGCTCAGACTAGATGAACAGCTCAGTCAACCTATAGAAACATGAGAAATAATCAATTGGTGTTTTAAGCTACTAAGTTTTAGATAGTTTGTTAAGTAGCAAAAGTTAACTTGATGCACCCTCAATGTGAAAGACATCCATCCAAGGAAATGAAGAAAATTATTTTCATCATCTTCTAAATTCCATCTTTAACTCAATGATCACCCTTCCTTCCTCAGAGATGTTGTCTCAGTTCAGATGGCAGTTTTGAGCCTAGTAGAGCTAAACACAGTGAGCAGAATGTCCCTCCTTGACAAAATAATGACTTAAGAATGTTCTCAGAAGCCTTAGATTGCTTCCTAACAAGGTCTTTATCCTTTCACCTCAAGCCATTTACTATCAAAAGCCATATGTTCTATTACCTCTAATTTTGTTAGACTTATTACATAAAGTCTATGTCTTATTAATCCCTTTTAACTCTAGCAACTAACACGGTGCCTGGAACACAGCAAACACTCAACAAATATTCTGTGAATAACAAATAAATGACTAAGTCAAGTCTCCTGATACTAAAGATTCTGCCTATATCCAGCCTATTTTTCCCCTCTGCCAACCTTTACAAAGTTTAAGAAACAGATCACCTTTAGGACTCCATGGAGCATCATCTGAATTCTTCTTTTTCTTGGGTCGCGATCTCAAAGCAGGATCATCATCATCAGACTCCAGGGAAGGGTAAACTGCAGGGAGAGGGGAAAATAGTATAAACTGAGATTTTATCCAAAGGGGTGAAGACAGAATGATGGCTATTTCAGCTCCTCCCATTCCCCTACAAGTATATACTCAACTGTTAAGAGTCCCTGAACGTGCCACATACATTTCATGCTTTTCTACTTTGCACCCTTGCTGCAAATATCCTTCTCCCAAATTCATCAAATTATGATTCATTCACCCAACATCCATTTAGTAACTTCATGTGTTAGTTTACTTACCCTTTGAAATTCAGCTTTAGCTTCACATCCTACAAGAAGTCTTCCCTTACTCTCCTAATCTGATACAGATGCCTCCTGCTTACCTTTTCATAGTGTCTTGTGCAAACCTCTACTGAAGTTACTTGTAGCATAGTATACAAAAGCTGATTAGTAAACCTATTGCCTCTAATTTACCAGAACAGCAAGGATATATATATTAAGGGAACCTAACAAAATGCACAGTAGGTGCTCAAGTAACTGTTTACTGAATAAATGGAAAAAATGGTACATATTTAATTCACACAAAAGGAATAAAAAGAATACTTGGGCTGCACTGGGAACAAAATTAGTGAAATTATATGATGTGAATGACAAAATACAATATACAAGTATCCCATCTAACACAAATAATTTTATCATACTCTCCTGAAAATCCACATGCTACACACACTGGATTTAATGAGAAGATAATCCAGAAAGGGCCTACTGATAAGGTAAAACTCTGATGCTATTGCTAATCCTAGAAGAGGAGCAAAGTGAGAGTGAAAAACTTCCTTCTAGTGACCAAATTCAAATTTCTCTAGAATTCTACTTCATCAGAGGAAGCGTCAGGGATATGATACCAACAGGCAACAAAATCCAAAAAAGACAAATGGGACTACATTGAACTTAAAACTTTGTATATCAAAGGAAACAACTGAAAGAATGAAAAGGCAACCCTCAGAATTTAAGAAAACAATTTCAAATTGGATATAGATGCTCCTCAATTTATCATGGAGATTCCATTCAAGAAACCTAAGATAAGTTGACAATATTAGAAGTCAAAAGTGCATTTTCAAATTAGGATATTTCCAATTTAAAATGGGTTTTCCCAGACACAACCCTATTGTAAGACAATGAGTATACTGGATGCATATCACTTTTACATCATCATAAAGTCAAAAAATTGTAAGTTGAGTCACTATAAGTCAGGAGTCATCTGTATAGGCAAAGGGTTATTATTATCTGGAATATATGAGAACTTCTACAACTTAACAACAAAACAAACCTCAAATAACCCAAATAAAAAGAAGGCAAAGAACTTAAATAGACAAAGAACTTTAGACATTCTTTAAATGTCAAATGTCTAAAGAAGATATACAAATGGCCAATGAGCACAATGAGCCAATGAACACAAGAAAAGATGTTCAACATTGTTAATTATTAAGGAAATACAAATTAAAATGACACTAAGGTACAACTTCAGTGTGCTAATGGGTACAACAACTAAAGCAAACAGCCTTCAGAATGGGAGAAGATATTTGCATGCTACAAATCTGACAAAGGGCTGATAACTAGAATTTACAGAGAATTCAAATTAATCAACAAGAAAAGAGCAAATAATCCCATAAGTGGGCAACAGACATGAACAGAACCTTCTATGAAGACAGATGAATGGCCAACAGACACATGAAAAAATGCTCATTGTCCCTGATCATAAGAGAAAAGCAAATCAAAACCACTATGAGAGATCACCTAACTCCACTAAGAATATACCACATCACAGAGTCCCAAAGCTGCAGATGCTTGAGTGGATGTGTAGAGAATGGAACACTTTTACACTGCTGGTGGGATTACAAATATAGCCTTTATGGAAAGAAGTATGGAGAATTCTCAAAGAGCTAAAAGTAGAACTTGCATTTGATCCCATAATCCCATTAGTAAGCATCTCCCAGAATGAAAAAAAAAAATCATTTTACCATAAGGACGTGTGCACTAGAATGTTTATTGCAGTTCAGTTCACAATCACCAAGATATGGAATCAACCCAAGTGCCGTCAATACATGAATGGATTGACAAACTGTGGCGCATATATATATATATATGTATGTATGTATGTATATATACACACACACACATATACATACCATGGAGTACTATGCAGCCATAAAAAGATGGAGACTTTACATCTTTTACATTAACCTGGATGGAGTTGAAGAACATTCTTCTTAGAAAAGTATTATAAGAATGGAAAAGCAAGCATTCAGTGTACTCAATACTAATATGGAATCAATAGACAAACAACTACAGTCTTGCATAAGAGAAAAACACAAATTCAAGTAGGAGGATGGGAGGTGGGAGGGGGATTAGTAAGCTCTCACCTAATGTGCATTGTGTATACAGCACACACCCGGGGGGGAAGGCTCAACTGCAACTTGAACTTTACCTAATAAATGTAAACAATGTAACTTAATCATTTGTACTCTCATATTAATCTGAAAGTTAAAAAAAAAATAAAAAAAGAAAAATACAGCTTGGTGGCTCAGACTTATAATCCTATCACTCCACAAGACCAGGTGAGAGGAGCTCTTGAGCTCAGAAATTTGAATTTTGAGTAGGCTGTCTACATACCACTGCAGCCTGGGGTGACAGAGTGAGATTTTGTGTTTTTAAAAAATTGCTTGGAAAAAACATCACTAAATAGATGATTATAACTCACAATAAGCAACAACAGCAAAGTGAGGAAAGAAAATCTGATTTCCAGAGTTAACCACATCATAATATTTAAAGTGTCATGTTTTCAACAAAAGTTATGAGGTATATAAAGGAATATATAGTTCTGTTATAGAAACAAAAGCCAAAAATTGACAAAAACCATCCCAAAGGAAGCCCAGAAAACTGGACTTACTATACACAGACTTTAAATTAATTATCTTAAATATACTGAAAGAACTAAAAGGAAACCACTGACAAAGAACTAAAGGAAACTGGGAGAATAATGTCTCGACAAATAGAGAACAACAATAAGGAAACAGAGACTATAAAAAAGAACTAAATAGAAAGGTGGGGGCCGAAAAACATAATAGGTGTGGGCCATGCGCAGTGGCTCATGCCTGTAATTCTAGCACTCTGGCAGGCCGAGAAGTGAGGATTCCTTGAGCGCAGGAGCTTAAGGCCAGACTCAGTAAGAGTGAGACCCCTGCCTCTCCTAAAAAAATAGAAAAATTAGCCCTGTTTTGTGGCAGGCACCTGCAGTCCCAGCTATTTGGGAGGCTGAGGCAAGAGGATCACTTGAGCCCAGGAGTTTGAGGCTGCTGTGATCTATGATGATGCACTCTACCCAGGGTTACAGAGTGAGACTGTCAAAAAAAAAAAAGGAAGGAAGGAAGGAAAAAAAATATAATAGCTGAAAACAAACAAAAAAAAAATTCACCAGAGGGGTTCAACAGATTTGAGAAGGCAGAAGAATAAGAGAATTTGAAGAAAAATTGATTGAAATTATCCAGATTGATGAGAACAAAGAAAAAGAAAGAATAAAGTAAAATGAAGATGGCCTAATGGACCTGTGGGACATTATCAAGCTTACTAACATATTCATATGAGAGTCCCAGAAGGACAGCATGGAGAGAAAGAGTAGAAATGACTATATGAAGATAAAATGTCCAAAAGCTTTCTAAATTTTCTAAAAGATATAAATGAAGCTATGCATCCAAGAAGCTCAATGAATACTATGTAGGATAAACTCAAGAGATCCACACTGAGATATATTATATACAAACTGCCAAAGTAGCCAAAAACATGGAGAGAATCATAAAAGCAGCAAGTGAGAAACCACATGTCATATATAAAGAATAGTCTGTAAGTAAGATTAACAACCAATTTCTCATCAGACACACTACAGGATACAGAAGGCAATAGGATAACATACTTAGTGTTTAAAGAAAAAAACTTGTCACCCAGTAATTCTGTATCTAATAACCCTATCCTTCAAAAATGAAGGCAAAATTAAGGCATTTTCAAATAAAGAAATATATATATATGTTCCCTTTAAGATACACTAAAGAGAGTACTTCAGGCTGAAATGAAAGGAGAGTAGAGAACAACTTAAAGCCAAACAAAGAAATAAAGAATACTGATAAAGGTAATTACAGAGGTAAATATAAAAGCCAGTTTTATTATATTTGTGGTTTCCAACTACTATTTTTTGTTTCCTACATGATTAAAAAGACAGACACATAAAATAATAATAAATCTACATCAATAAAAAGACTGCACATAAGGATGAAATCTATAATAAATGTAACAGTGGAGGGGGTGGGACTATATAGAAGAATTTTTGCATGCTATAGAAGCTACATGGTATCAATCAAGCCAGACCATTATAAAGTTAGGGTATTAAATGTAATCCTCCAGGAAAGCACTATGAAAATAACTAAAAAGTATATAAAATATATACTAAAGGAAGTGAGGAGTGAATCAAATTAGCACACTACAAAAAATCCACTAAACACAAAAGAAAGGAGTGATGGAGGACTGTGGAACCAAAAAGATGTAAGATATGGAAAACAACAAAATAGTAGAGTATGTCCTTCCTTATCAGTAATCACTTTAAACACAAAATTATTAAAAGGCAAAAACTGGCACAAAGCATTAAAAACATGTTCCAACTGTATACTATCTACAAGAGACCCATATTAGATCCCTATCAAACAACTAGGTATCAAGTGAAAGGCTAGAAAAAGATATTCCCTGTGAAGAGTAACCCCAAAGCAGCAAAGATTATATTAACATATGACAAAATACACTCTCAGTCAAAAATTGTTATAGAAAGAAGGCAAAGAAGGATGTTACATATAAATAAAATGGTAATATAATAATTACAAATAGATATGCACCCAACAAAGCCTCAAAATATATGAAACAAATATTGACAGAATTGAAGGGAGAAACACAGTTCTATAATAGGTGGTGAGTTTAGTACTCTACTTTCAATAACAGATACATAGGGA